GAGACGCATGGTAGTCGCATAGGAGTATTGAGCGAAAACCCAAAACTTAAAAAATATATAACTCAAAAACGAACAAAAAAACACATCGCTGAAAGCCTAAATTTTCATGGAAAAATCAAGGGGTATTCAACTCTGCACACCGTAATCTGTGCCTCGAGATTTAGTTGTGGCGAAACCTATGGCAAGCACTGTGCCGAACGTGCCGAAGTAGGCCGAAGCGTACCAATCAAAGTGTCAATATCTCATGAATTTAGCAGCCCTGAATGACTTTTGTGATTGTGTGTAAATTTTCAATTTCTTTCATGGCAAACATTAAGCTTCATTCTTATTCGTGGCAATGGAAGAGGAACTGGAATCCATCCAATCTATACGGTGTGCAGAAACGAAAGTGTAACCTGATTGATGGTGGACGAAATTTCCTCCAGCTGCCTGATAAAAGTTCCTTAACAAAATCAAATCCAGAAGTCGAAAGACCCAAGAAACAACATCCTCGAACCAGTTCATCTGATCTATTCAGAAATACGTGACCTCGAAGACATCACCCAAGCCTATCGTGTCGCTGATAATGGTGTCTCCTTCCACCACCCAATTACACACGTTCAAGCTTACCAAAACCATCAAATTTATCAAATCCATTTCAAAACCATTTTATATTTAATATCGCCTACTCCCGATCAGTCATACTTCGAAAATGGTTTGTGATCCAGATAATCTTCGAATCTGCAGTTCTACGGCAGACAGGACCCGTGGTCGTTGTTGCTCGCTGCACGCCCATGGGCTCTTGGCGAACTGCAAGTTGCTTAGAGTCGTCATGCGGGAACTGTTGACCCCACCAGATTGAAGAAGGCCTTACTGACCTTACAAGAACTGATCGGTAGGCCACCCATCGCATCGCGGCCTCTTGAGACATACTAGTTCAACAGAAGAATGACGACAGAGATGCATCTGCAATCTTTGGTTTTTATTAGTTAGGTAGGTTCCGATTCAACACATTGTAGTTTCATTTTTATACCTATGATCTTGACTCTTTTACCTAGGGGATGAGTACTTAAGGGGGTTAGATTTTGATAAGCTATTTAGTGGGAATGACACTGATGAAGACTGCACATTGTAGTCGAAATACGTATCTGTCATGGATACCAAAATTAATTAAGTGGAATTAAATGCAAGAGAGCTTTTTTTTGCTGTTTTATTTAAGCATTCCGCTAACAACCCAATTTCATTACTTCAGCTTTCCGAAGCATGAAATCCAACAAGGCTCCAGGGGTCGATCGCATATCAGCAGAGATGCTCAAAGCTGACCCCATGCTATCCGCACAAATGTTGCATCAACTATTCTGTAATATCTGGGACACCGCGACTTTTCCGGCCGACTGGATGCAGGGCATCTTAGTGAAGGTCCCAAAGAAGGGGGATCTGACTGTGTGCGACAATTGGCGAGGCATCATGTTACTGTGTATTGTTCTCAAAGTTCTGTGCAAAGTTATCCTGAATCGGATACAGGAGAAGATTGACGCGACTCTCCGACGGCAGCAGGCAGGATTCCGTGCCGAAAGATCTTTCGACCGTCTCAATCACGAGAATCTGTGGAGCGCCTGAGACGCAAGGGAGTCCCGGATAAGATCGTCAACCTCATCGAAGCGCAGTATGAGGCTTTCACGTGCAGAGTTCTGCATAACGGAGCCTTGTCCGACCCTATCCGGGTAGTCGCTGGTGTGAGACAAGGATGTATACTATCACCGCTACTGTTTCTCATAGTAATCGACGAGATCATGGTAAGTGCAATTGACCGTGTACCGAACCGTGGGCTGCTCTGGCAGTCTATCACCATGGAGCATCTCAACGACTTCGATTTGGCTGATGATGTTGCTCTACTAGCACAACGGCGCTCTGATATGCAGAGTAAGCTCAATGACCTAGCTGAACGCTCCTCTGCGGCGGGTCTCACCATCAACGTCAACAAGACCAAATCGTTGGATATCAACACGGGCAACCCTTCCAACTTTACGGTAGCGGGGCAAGCAGTGGAGAAGGTCGAAAGTTTCCAATATCTTGGTAACCAAATAGCGTCGGACGGCGGGACCAAGAGCGACATAGGTGCACGAATCAAGAAGGCTAGGGCTGCCTTTGCGAGTTTACGAAACGTATGAAGATCCAACCAGATAAGTCAACGCACCAAAATTCGAATATTCAACTCGAACGTGAAATCTGTGTTGTTATACGCCAGCGAGACGTGGTGTGTATCAGCGGAGAACACTCAAAAACTGCAGGTCTTCATCAACCGATGCCTGTGGTATATAATTCGTGCCTGGTGGCCTCACAACTGGATCTCGAATGCCGATCTCCATCGTCGATGTCATCAGAAGCCGATAGCAACAGAAGTTCGAGAGCGAAAGTGGAGGTGGGTCGGCCACACACTTCGACGGGCGGAAACGAAATCTGCAAGCAAGCGCTGGATTGGAATCCGGCAGGACATCAGAGCAGAGGCAGACCCAGGGGCTCATGGCGGCGGAGCCTCAATAAGGAAATTAAGCAAGTCGATAAGAATCTGACCTGGGCCCAGGTCAAGGCAAAAACGAGCAGCCGCCCAGGATGGAAGTCTTTCACGTTGGCCCTTTGCACCGCTGGTGGTGCACAGGACCCTTAAGTAAGTAATCCTAGACACCAAATAACTTCGATCGTTGGTTCATAAACCCGTCCCGAACCGAGGGGGACGACTCTATCTACGATGCAGAAAATATTGTGTTTTGCTGTGGCTAGCTGCGTGCATGCTGAGTAGATAGAAAGAATTGATGACGATTCTGAAGATTTCCTGCAAAAAGATGATGCGCGATGTAAGTAGATGCGAGAAATGAAAGAAGATTTTTCGAAGATTGATTCGCTAGTGTGAGATTTGTTGAGCATCTAGACTTGAGATTTAAATGTGTCACCCCCTAGTTCCGAACTTTGTCCCAGTTCAGAATTTTCACCAACGAACGATGAGACTGACTCAAAATTGAGTGGAATTCGACTCAATTTAGCAAGACCATCGAACGGGGTCTTCCACAGCATCCTGTCGGCACTGAAGAAACTAATAGCAACCGACTCACAATGATAAACGTTCAGTTTCAAAGCCACATTCCTACCGCATAAATGCCTTCTTCTTTTTTCACTACCAATGCCATAAATTCCCGTTTGCAATTAACCTGATTCCTGTTCCTAAAGTCCAAACAAGCACTCGCGCATACCTATAACAATAAAACATGATTACCGCTGTTTGCCGGGCTCCAAATGTGTCCGTGTCCTAACGGATCGATCCATTCCGTCACATTCCACCGCAATTCCGAATGGGAGCCAATTAAACTTCTCCCAAAGCTTGTAGCTTCACGGTGAATAACCACAATAATGTCGGTAGATCATATGTAAGTGTATAGATGAACATCAGCGCAGCTTCCGAGGGGGGGGGGTGCGAAATGCACTGTTCTGGGCTGACTCGTGGATGCACCATATGCATATGCATGTCACACAAAAATGAAATTGTGTTGTTAGTAGGTTTGCTTGTGCAGGCTCAATTTGTTGTTGAAACAAAAGGTCCCGAAAGAACGAAGCACCTGGAATGTGCTGAAAAATAGAGATGCAAACCAAACCAGTGATGCGAATTCTGTATTCGCTTTCTATCCATTGGAAGCTTGATTTTTTTTTCAGCTGAATTTAAATTTCACTCAATTTATATTGACCCAACTTTTCCAATTCCAAGAGCATGCACTTTATATTCTCACGGTGCCACTCAATCATTTCCGCTTCCATTATTTCAACCAATGTAACGACGAACGAAAGCTTGTTCATGTAACTGGAACGATTCCCTGATGAATTCCATCCCGAGTGAAGCAAGTGAACGATGAAATTTTTATTGTTTCTCTGCTTGATTTCTCTGATTACCTTGAATTTGTGATCCCGTTTCAGAGCACGACCTCTGAACTTCCAGCTTCCAACTCCAATGGTACAATATTAATAATGCTCTCCCGGTAGGTATTCTTTGTCTGTTTTTGAATCCTTTCTGATCCTGGCATCATCAACGTTCAACACCTTTTGCCTTGAACTAGAGGAGAACTAGGGCACCGGATAGAGTGAGGTACTGACGGTCATTGCTTTCACTTTTTGCCACTGCTTCAGTCGTCCAGTAATCCCTCCATATATGCTGTCCTTCAACCAATTACGCTGATTTTCTGTATGTGATTAGTGTGAACCATAAACTAGTCGCGTACAGAAAATCAGCTCAAATGGTTGAAGGATAGCCGAAAAATAGCGGTGGGTGGACGGTACCACCCTCCGCATGAATGGAGGGATTACTGCATAGTCATTTTTCACCAACTGAAACCCTGATAGCAGTTTTGGTTCCACCAGCTTTTCAATTATTCATTCCGTTTCCACTCCACGGGCTAGCGAAGCGAAAGTGCTTCGTTTTCCTATTTCCCAAGCTTTTGTTTTTGTTTCGATTAAACACAGGATTGCTCTGAATTTCCTTTCGTTGCCCTAATAACCACTTGAGCTGAAACTTGCTGGCTCAGTGTGACCCTGTAAAAATTAGTAAAACATAAATTCATAACCCGACGACGACGACGATGACGAAGGTGACCACGAAGAATGGAATGTTTGCGTGTGTAATTACCGGTTGTCACGGGATCCGGCCAAACAGCAGCCAACAGCGAGCCAGGAGGGGTCAAGTTTCCATGAAAAATAAAAACAAAGACCCTACCCGCTAAGAAGAACGCATGAAGAGGTTGTTTTTTTGCTAAATAAATTGTGACGTTTTTTATAAATTCGATTATGGTTGAAAGAGGAACAAGATTGCGTTTCCTTGTGAAACACGATGAAGCTTCAGCAATTTGTTTTAATTGATGGAGACGCATTGTGTACCTTACGAGAAGCTCACTAGACTAACAGTTTCGTCACGTCTGTTATGCAGTATCGACTTTCTGTTTGAATCCAACTAATGCATTACATTTCTTCTTTCATTACAGGTGAGTGCAAATAGCAGTTATGCAAGTACCAAAAACATACATACAAGGGAGTACAGTCTCTATTCGCAGATAATCTCGCATACAATACAACAAGGTACACTTTGAAGTTTGAAGTATGCTGTATTTTACAAAATTATTGTTTGTGACATTATATCCTGAATGATGTTATTACTACTTACCTATATCCGTAAGTATAGGCCGATGGTAAGAGAAAAAGTTGATGAATACTTTACATCTAAGATCTGGAATATGTAGCGCAAAGGCCGTGACTGGTCAGAACAAACGTGTTTGCTCTTATTCCTTTTAATTATTCGAAAATCTAATATCTTAACTCCATCTGTATTTGAATTGATGGCCCTGAAAAAGGCCTTTTGTTTTTCCAAGCAAAAGGGCCGTTTGTTGTTTTTTTCTTGGTGTCCATTGAAAGAGTTGTTGGAGTTGGAGGTTACGGAACGAATAGGTGCTAATCGCTATTGCCTTTTGGCGCTCCTTTTATTTTGGCGCTATTTGTTGATATTGCTGTTGTATTTGCTTCAGTGGATGGAGAACTAACACGAAATGCATAAACGTGCTACCAATTAACGTCTGTGGGTAGGTTTAGAGCTGGATGATTTACGCAAGTTTATTCTCTCACGGAGACTCAATGATCTAAAGCTGATAGTGATTTTCCGAACACTGATTGATGATTCATTGTTGTTATTTCTTTCCATGGTTCAAAATTATTTCAATTTTGCGAACCTGTTTTACCCACCATCTAGAGATCGTAAATGAAATTCTGCAGCGTAGAAATATAGTGGCCCTAAAAAGGCCATTTGGGATCCAATAGATTAACATGCTGGTACTTTCGGGATGGCGTGCTTACACTATTACAAAGCGGTTGAAATCTTGCAGGTGATCAATGTTGTAGTCAGCCTAAGGAAACGACTGCAGTGGAACGTCCGAAAGATGGCAAAGCTACTCAGAGATGTACTCCGATGTCCGCGTCCTTCACAGTCCTACCAAATTTGGGGTGATCATCTGTCGCAAATGAAACTGCCATTTTGGATCGAAGCGACCAAACTGGTGTACTTAAGTATCTCCAGAGACAGCGTGCTCAGTTGGCTTTCCTAGCAGCAGCATTACGCAGGTGATCATTGTAGTCAAACTCAGCTGTGTAACGTTCGAAGGATGTCGTTGCCGTTGGTAACATTCCGATGTTAGCGTCCACTTTCTGGGTATTTCAAATTAGTTGTCACGACTGTCCCCGCAGCTAATGGAATTGCAACTGATCACGTTCAGTAGTAGTAGTAAAATTATGTTTATTTCTGTTGATTATGGTAGTACATTGATTTATCATTTTAATTGATTAGCCTACTTGGCTCTTCATCTTTGTTTAATTTTATATTCTAATTTAATATTTGCGTTTTTCAACTAGTTTACAGAATATCCCTTTGGGGATGTGTTTAATTTGAATTGAAAAAAGTGATAACCTACCTAACTACGAGTATAACTTAACCTAACGTGCTAGATCACGTATGATCTGATGATTTGATCTCAGACAGGTGTCTCTGAACCTTTCCCAGATTGGCATACCGCACTCGATTACAGGAAGGATGATTTGTTTGTAGACAACAAGCTTATTTTTCAGGGACAGGGTTGACTTCTTGTTGATAAGTGGATACAACGATCTTATCAAGATGTTACACTTGGTTTTTGTTTTGTCAACATGCTCCCTGAAAAGAAGCTTGCTGTCTAGTGTTAGCCCGAGGTACACGACCTCTTTGGACCATTCCACCACTGTGCCGTTCAGGCAGATCTTGTTATTCTCCGACGGAACAAGTCTAGGAGATTTAGAGTGTGGAAAGATAATGACCTGGGTCTTTGCCGCGTTGATACGGATCTTCCAGCTGTTGAAGTATTCAGACAGGACGTCCAGGCCTCTCTGAAGTTTGGCAGTCAGAGCTCCGATGACCCTACCCTTGTAGACGATGGATGTGTCATCTGCGAACAGAGACAACGATCCACCATCAGGGAGAGCCGGCATATCGGAGGTGAACAGGTTGAATAGGATGGGGCCAAGGTTGAATAGGATGGGGCCAAGGTTGAATAGGATGGGGCCAAGGATGTTGAAAGCATCCGATGTGATGCCATTCAGAGAGACTCGGAACGTTCTGTCTAATAGATAGTTGTTTATTATCTTCACTAGGAAGATTGGAAGACAGTACTGCTGCAATTTGAACACCAGGCCATCATGCCAGACATTGTCGAACGCTTTTTCAACGTCCAACAACGCCATGGCAGATGTTTTCGAAATAGACTTGTTCCATCTGAGAATGTTTGTTACTCGAGTCAGCTGGTGGACGGTCGAACGACCTTTCCGAAAACCAAACTGTTCCTCGAGTAACAAGTTGTTTTCATCGGCAGATGTTAGGAGCCGGTGGTACACTGCTCTTTCGAACAGTTTTGATAACCCTGAGAGAAGGCTGATTGGTCGATAACTTGAAGGAGAGGACGGATCCTTCCCAGGTTTCCGGATGGGTATGACTTTAGCTGACTTCTAACACGAGGGGAAGTAGCCAAGTCTGAGGCACTGATTAAAAATCAGTGCCAGATGGTTGTAGAATCTGAAACTCAAGTGTTTGAGTTCCAGATTCAAGATGTTGTCGAAAACTGGGGCCTTCATGTTTTTAGATTATTTGATATAGGCCAACAGTTCGTCAGCCGTAATCTCGGATTCCTCTGGAAAAATGTTAGGAATCTGAAGAAGATTGGTTGCATTTTCAGGAACCTCAGATTCATGAGGGCTGACGATGTTTTGTCCGAGATTATGGGAGCTGACGAAGTGTTGACCTATCGCGGCAACCTTCTCTACAGGAGTTATCAGATGAACCACTGGGTCGCCGGGACGATCCAGTGGGGTCAGTGATGGAATGGGCCTAGGCTTGTTTTTAAGAATTTTTGTAAGTTTCCAGAAGGGCTTAGCACAATCTGGGAGAGAGCGGATCTTACTAGCAAAATCGTTATTTCTGAGATCCACCAACCTGGCCTGAATGAACTTTGTTAATCGATTACAATTGGTCTTCAAGTTAGGCAGGCCAGTACGCTGGTACTGCCTACGAATGGTGTTACGGAGTCTAATGAGATCTTTGGTAGGGCTGTCAAGGTTCAGAGTGTTACTCACCTGTCTGGATACTGGCACACGTTGTTCCCTGGCCCGGGAAATCGCCTCCTCGATGGTTTGTAGACACCGGTCAACATCTTCCGACGTCCCCGGTTGGACATCGTAGTTGATGGTTGTGGCGACGCAGTGTTGATATTGCGCCCAGTTGACTCGATGGTAGTTGCGCCGGGAGCTTCGAATCGGTTAACCGAGGATCCAACTTCGGCCACCATCGGGGTGGGGGCCCGAGCTCAGCTCCTGGAATGCCACAGGTTGCGAGACGTTGTGTCCCATGTTGCTTACGAAGATGTCGATGGTCGCATGGACCCCAGACCGACTCAACCGGGTGGGAGAGTCCGGGGTCAAGATGGTACAGTGGCCCTCTTGCAGGTCTTCATTGAGGATGATGCCGTTTCTATTGCTCCGACCGTTGCCCCAAGCTTGATGTTTTGCGTTCAGATCGCCAGCGATGATAAAGTTCCCGCTCCTCCGGGTGAGTTTGATGATGTCTTTCCGGAGGGCCACTGACGACCCGTCCCTGATGTTGGTTTGCTTGGGGCAGTAGCCGCAATGATGGTGATTGGGCCAAGTGATGTGCTCACCTCCACTCCGATGGCTTCAATTGTTTTCAGCTGGAAGTTTGGTAGCAACCGGCAACTGATGTTCCGTCTTGCAGCGATGGCCACTTCTCCACCTCCAGAGCAGGTGCGATCAAGTCTGACGAGCCAGAAGTCGGGAAGGAATATGTTCAGTTTGGGCTTCAAATGCGTCTCGGTGATGATAGCAATGCCGACCTCCTTGGTGTTGAGGTAATCGAGTAGCTATGCTTGTTCGTCAGTGAGCAAGCGTTCCAATTTGCAATTTTTATAGCTTCACGGTCCATACTTGGTGACGAGTAACAAGGCAGCATGAAGCTGTTCAGATCGAGTCTTGCAGGTGCGCATGATGATGATGACCTCGGCCACGAGCATCACAAGTTCCTCCGAGGTGAACGGAGAATCGTCGACAGACTGACCTGAGACAGCACCAGCGTATGATAAACCAAGGGCCGTGAATGAACCTGGAATTGGCTGGGCCGCAGCAACAGCGAGACGATGCTGAACTGTCCGACTGTTGGGAACCATTTGGATACTCGCAGGATTGGCTTGTTGGTTGTTGAGCGGAAGCGGGGCTAGGTTCGGAACATGTCGACGGGGCTGGAGAGCTGGGTACTGGACTTCCGTTAGTACAGGAGGCGAACGATGATTACGAAGGCGACCGAGCTGGTTGTTGATTGTGGCCTTCCGACGGATATCAATGAACTCCACTCGCTTGGGACATCCGCGATTGGAGGCTTGGTGGTTTCCACCGCAGTTGGCACACGTTGGCTCGATGTCATCGACTTGCTCACAGGACGCAGTTGAGTGAGTTCCAGCACACTTGCCGCAGTTTGTCTTCATGTGGCAGTTTTTGGTGCCATGGCCATATGAAAGGCAGTTCATACACTGCGTTACATCACGATGTTGGGGTTTGTAATGCTCCCAACTGATGATGACCTGAAAAAGGTCCCGGATTTTGGATCTCAGGGCCGCAAGACTGGTGGATCCTTTCGTGAAAAGCACCAGCAGGAACCTATTTGTTTGTACTCCTCCAGGCTGGAGCACATGATTTTGGTACCGATGCTGCAAAGCGAGGCAGCAGCTTGTGTTTTGCCAGTTCGGCACCCAGCTTGGCAACATCCTTCACCGGCATGAAAAGCAGGGGAATCCACTCTCGTCTTGCAATGGGAACGGCGCCACCATCGCCATTTTCTTCCGGGAGTACTGCATACTGGTTGGCTTGCAGTACTCGTTTTCCGGCGTCATCCTGCGACGCGCTGGGCTTGATTAGCACTTT